ATGCTACGCAAACAAAAAAGTAAAAGCTTCAGCAGAAGCAACGCAGTTCTCAACACTTTTGCATTATGCGCTGCGTATCAATCAACACTAACAGAAGGGAGAAAGTGAGAGCGAGCGAGAGACATGGGTAAAATGTGTGCAAAAGAGACGGGCATAACGTGCCTAATTAATGAAATAATTAACTTGCAACTTTTACTTTTTGCGTAAGTGCTTTTCTAGCACTTTACTCATACCTCACACACACACGCACATGCATAGTCACTAACACATATAAGTACAGACACCTACACCTACATGTACATGCGCACGCAAACAATTAATTTCATCAACAACAATAGAGAGAAGCAGCAAAAAAATACATAGAACGGAGTAGAGGAAATTAAGCAAAAACAAATTCGTAGCATATTTCGGGGCACGGACCAGGATAAACAATAAAGTCAAGGTCTTCGCTCATTCTTTCCGTGTAGCCGAATCAAAGTTTCCTTCAGCTTAATTTAGCTTAGCACACAAAATGCTTTTGAAGTTTTTTCCCAACACTTTTTCTGTGTCCGCAGAACTAAATAAGCTCGACTAAGATTTTGAGCAGCTTAGTAAAATACTAAGAATAACGACTTAAAGAAAAGTCGATGCCAAGTGTATAAAAAAAAATATTTATATGCTCTTCTAAATGATCAAATTTAATGAAATTTAAAATTCTATAAACTATAATTAGTATATTTTTCTCTTTATAAATACTAAAATTCAAAATATATATATATCATTAAAGTGAACATCTTACATAGGTATATAATAATTAGATTTCAAATCAAATTAAAGATTTTTTATTAAGTTTTAGATTCGCTCAATCGAGCTTAATCAATCATTTGCAGTGACCCATCAATAAAGTTAGAGCATACGAAAAGTCACGAGAAACTCAGGACTAAATCCCTTAGCAAGCAAAAAGATGAAGATGCCTTAACAAAAGAGAAAGAAATAAGCTAACGCTTGATGAGTGCGTCAGCATAAGCAGTTAGACGTGCAGACACACACACATACACACACTCACGCACACACACACACATGCCAGCACGAACAAGAACAAAGCAACAGCAGCAAATAAATCAACAAATCAAAGAACTTAACTAAGAAAAAAAAACAACTCTCGACGCGACGCAGCCGAGCCGAATACAATGAATTAACCAATGTATACATAGGTTAGTTAGAGAGCGACATAGAGTGAGCGAGAGCGAGAGTGAGAGTGGGAGTAGAACATGTGTAGACGAACAACATACAATACAGTTGTGGCAGGGCAAATAGCAGAGTGCTCAAATAGATAACGGTACACACGAAGTCTGAGCAAATTAAACAAAGACAAGCAAAACAAAAGAAACCCTTTAATGCAAATTGCGAGAAGTGTTTTGAGCAAAATATTGTTGTTATTTGCATGGCCTTAGCTGTGCATATAATTACCTAGGTGTGAGTGAGACTCTGTATGAGAGTGTGTCTGTGCGTGTGTATGAGCGATTGAAGCACAGCAAGAAGACTGACAGCGCGGCCTGAGTGATTAACAGTGCTGGAGACGCTGGCGATGACGAGAGAATTCCGCAATCCCCAGCAGCTAGATGAGAAGAGAACGAGGAAGACAGTGAGTCAGTCAAGCAGGCAGGCAGGCAGCAAGCCAGCCCCTGACAATTATGTGGATTAGCCACAATGGCGGCTGGCTGCGGGGCCCCCAGTCAGCAACCCGGGGAGCTGGCTCAAAGTTTCGGCAGCGATTTGCGTCGCTTCGGCAATTAGTCAAAAGCAGTTAACACGCCCTAAATGCGAACGCGCTGCGTCAAAAAGTGTCTCTGGCGCATAATTTATTGCCCAGCACTTAACAGTCTAATATAGCGTGTTAAGTCTAATATAATTATAGTATACTAATATATTTGATTTTTAGTTGAAAGGATTTTCGTATTTTGATATTTAATTAGGCTCAATATAAAAATATGCTAAATATGCTTACTCACCCATTGCGAAATATACTACAATTTTATATTATTAATATTTATTAGCTATTCACAGATCACATTTATTACCATTTTTGGTTGCAGAAAAAAAGAACACAAAGCGTATCCAACTCTCATTACCATTTGATCACTACTGCGGTGAAGTTTGGAGTGTNCATTTTTAGCTATTTTTGAACCCTAAATGCTATGAAAATTTTGAAAATGCTATTAGCTATAAATTTAGCTATTTTACAAACGAATATTTTGAATTTGATTTTAGTATTTAAAGCAAAAAAAAAAAAACATTTTTCGATTAAGTCCCAAATTGTACGTAATGATCTGCGCGATACTACCACCACGACTTTATCGTACTTATAACATCAGTTGTGAATTTACACCATCGCTAATTCTTCTTGGCGCGCTTCTTGGCATTAATTGTATGTGATGGATAAAAAATATAAGCAGAAATTTCGTGATTCCTGGAAAACAATCACCGAATTTAAGAATTGGATTAAGGAGGATGAGTCGGACAACAGGCGGGCGTATTGTATATACTGCAAATGCAGTGTTTTTGCCAAATCGCACGATATTAAAATGCATGCCGCGACAAAAAAAAAAAAACAAAACTGCGATTGGCGTCTTTGGGCAAAAAATTTAAACATTTTCAATGATTTCATTTAAACATGATTCCAGTTAATCAAAAATATAATTCTGATGATGATTTGGATTTGAACCAAATTGTAACATTATTAAATAACATTTAAAAATAAAATTTAAAGTAAATGCATAATGCATAAAAGTTTCTCAGCTATTTTGTAAGCTATTTTAAAATTTGTTTAGCTATTTTCAGCTATTTTTTAGAGACGATTTTGCTATTTTTATGTCTCAAAACCTGGCAACACTGCATACAATGCGCTCAAAGCTTCATTCTCTTTGAGTTTTTTGTTATTCACCATATTTCTATTCTTACGCTGCTATTGAAAGAGAAGCTTTTGAATACACATATCTAAGTATGTATATGTGTATGTAAAATAATTGGCATGTACATAAATAAATCAAACATACACAAAAGGAAACTAGAATCTTTAAGGAATATTAACGACTGAGGTGAGCTTTAATTTGAGTAAGTACGCACGCACATACATTAAGCCAAACACTCTTATTCTACCACTTATTCACCATCATCATTATCAGTGCATCACTGTTAAAAGACTCAATAGTACTCAATCGTATACTTGCACAGTCTCTCTCTGTCTCTCTCGCTCAACAGTAAATGCGACATCAAAGCAATGAAATCATAAAATAGCTCTAATTTGCCTGCTCTTTGGTTGAGATTACAATTCACCATATTAAAATTTTCATGCCCATTTCTGAATGGGTAAAGGGTATATTTTCTGCTATACAAATAATCGGCACTTATATAAATAAAATAATTTTAAGGTGAAAATTTAAATCCCATTATCAAAATTTTGCTCAAGTCAGAGATATATATTAACTACCAAATTCAATATATATTAAATACATACAATTAACTACATTCCCACAATCCCAGAGTATTTCGTAGGCGAGTACAACCAACACACTTGCTTATTACTTTGGCATATTGGCATAAAGAATAGGCTTTCACCTCCAATTATTGAAATGTGTTTAAAATCAAAAGGGAAATTGAAATGGGAAACGCTTTTCCGCTACCTGCATCGGTGGCTGTATATGTGTGTGTGTGTGGGAGGGGGGTGGCACAAAGTATGTGAAAAGTGCATTGCATATCGCGAATTGCTCTCTTTGCCACTCTTGCATATCAATTAACCCACTTTGCCAGAGAGTCGAACCAATTTGCCTGCCCCAACACTGCACAACAAAATAAAACCCCAAAGCTTCGCACAAAAAAAAGATTGGCTGGGCGGGGGTGTTGAGTGAAAAGAAAATCGTTAACCATTTGGTAGCCGATGCTCATTGCCAATTAAGTTTAATTGGCCGGCAGGCTAAATGGCCTCAAGCCAAACTACTTCAAATATGCATACAAAGTGGACGCACGAAATCACAAAAATGCCTTGGGCTGCGCCCTATCCCACCCAGCGCACTCTTGGCCAGGCCCAAAAATAGGCCCATTTAACAATCAATTTACTTCACAATAATATTGCCATTGTCGACCGACTCTGGCCCATCGACCCGGCGAGGCGCATTGAGTAAGGCAAGGCGCGTTGCACATAAATTCATAAATGTTGTTGCCACATTTCGTTGCATATTCATGCAATTATTGAGTGGCCAGCCGATGCGATTCTGATGCTGATTCTGCTCCGGCTTCTCCGATTTTGATTCCGATTTCGTTTCCTTTTTTAATTGGACTGATTTAGATACATCAATAGCATGTTTTGTGGCCATGTTTGTGCTGCATGTTTGAAAGTGTGGCAATTGCCAATTACCAATTTGCAGTTGCCAATTGCCAATTGAATTTTTAAACGAGCCCATTTGATTTCCATGGCGAGTAAATCAATTGATTTACTACACCTACTCCCGCTAGTTGGCACAAAAACATGAATGAGTACTGAATGAAGATGGACGAATTGTGATATACGATATAGCGGTGCTCTACAGCTCAAAATGTCCCACTGAGGCTKCGAATGGAGTGGAGAGCTACCTAAACACACTAGTAGCATGGTGCAAAAGATGGAACATGAAAATCAACCCACGCAAGACCACCAACACTTGCTTCACCCTAAAAACCTTCATCAGCCACACCCCGCCTATACGTTTAGATGGCGAAACACTT